ATTCCTTATCTTTCATCTTCACCTTGTTTCACAGATGTAGCTGGCAGTACACGGCACTAACCACGGACCCGTGGCACTCATTAGATGGTGGCTGCTCCTCACAAGTGCCATCAGGCATGCAATTCCTGCTCCTGATTCTGCTAACGATGCTGGTTAACACATTGCTGTGTCGCTGTTCAAGCCACCTAGACAACATGGTCTTGTCAGTCTGGAACGAGCTTATCTTTTACTTATCATTTTCTTTGACACCATCCTCTGATAAGCTGAGAGATAAATACATAACAGACTCTGCAATGTATTCCCCTGGCACTAAATTCTTAGCAGTAACACTGTAGTGGGGTTTCAAGTAACGAGTGCTTCGTTTGACCTGTTTTCTATTTTGTTCGAGTGTTGCAGCTGAAGATCTTAGGGCACATTTAAACAAGAAACATATTCTTGTTTAGCCATTCCCCATACCTCAGGAATGGTTCTGTCTCTAAGGGGCTGTGAGGATTTAATTCCAGCAGCTCAGGGCAGCTACAGGGTACAGGCAAGTCAAGCACATGCAGTTGCTTAAGGTCCTGTTTTTAGGGTTTCACCTTGAAAGGTGAAATGAAGCAGGAACAGGATGTGAGAGGAGGAATCTATGGTCTGATGTGGGGATCCCAGTGACCACAGGGACCTAATAGAGACAAGGCATGCTGCCTTGCAATTATGAAGAATATATTATAATGGCTTTTAAGTCTCTTACCAGCATTGCCTTATTGCAACATGACCCTTTGGTATCACAGTCAGTCATTGAACCTTCCTCATGCCCAGAAACACCAGTAGCTGGACCACACATAAAGCAGTGGCATAGGACACATGGCACAGGATTGTGCTAGATGGTTCTGGAATACCTCCAGTGAGGGAGGCTGCACACCCTCTCTGGACAGTCTGTTCCAGTGTTCAGCCACTGCACAGGAAAGAAGTTCTTCCTCATGTTCAGAGGGAACTTCCTGGGCTTCAGTTTCTGCCCATTCTGGCCTCTTGTCCCATTGCTGGGCACCCCTGAGCACAGCCTGGTCCATCCTCTGCCCCCTCCCTGCAGACACTGATGGGCATGGATGAGGTCCCCTCTCAGCCTCCTTTTGAGGCTGAACAGCCCCAGCTTTTCCTCATCAAAGATGTTCCAATGCCTTCAACATCTTTGTCACCCTCCACTGGACCTGCTCCAGGAGCTCCTTGTCTCTCTTGTGCTGAACAGCCCAGAACTGAACACAGCACTCCAGATGTGCCTCCCCAGGGCTGAGCAGAGGGGCAGGATCGCTTCCCTACACCTACTGACAGTGCTCTTCCTAATGCAGCCCAGGATACCATTGGCTTTCTTGGCCCCCAGGGCACACTGCTGTTTCACAGAGAGGCTTGTTGTCCAACAGGACCCCCAGGTCCTTCTCTGCAGAGCTGCTTTCCACCAGGTCAGCCCCCAAGGGAAGGTTGTGGATATCACATGGAAGAAATATGCAATTAGTCTGGCTGTGGGTGCTGTTCATCTGTGCAGGCACCTCCCTGTGGTGCCAGAGGTTTCCATCTGCACAGGAGGATCACAGATGTGTGTGTTCAACAGCATGTATGTGCTAGGTCTTATTACTTTCACTTGAACCACATCTCCCTAGTTCGGAAATTACTTTTGTGGCTTTGTCAAACGTGCTACCAAAGCCAGAACAACATCCACTCATCTGAGTGACTCACTGAAGAGAGTTTGTTTTGGCAAGATCAGTGCATGAAGGGTCCATGCTGATATTTTATGCTCTACTGATTATTACAAAATGACAGGTAAACAATTTGCTCCGTTATCTCCCTGGAGATCTAAATTAGTCTTATTGACCTTTATTCCCTGGGTCCTCAGAGGTGAGATGTATGAGGATTGGTTTTTACCTCATTACACTTCTTTGCTCTTATGAGTGATTGAAAAATCAGTTCTTATAGTATGAGTTACAGTGGAAGGGAATAGAAATCATTACAAGAAAGACATTGAGGGGCTGGAACGAGTCCAGAGAAGGGCAGTGACGCAGGGGAAGGGTCTGGAGCACAAATCTGATGAGAAGCAGCTGAGGGAGCTGGGAGGGCTCAGCCTGGGGAAAAGGACGACCTTGTTGCTCTCTACAAGTCCTTGAAAGGAGGCTGTAGCCAGGTAGGGCTCAGGTTTTTCTCCCAGATAACAAGAGATGGGACAAGAAGAAACGTCCTCAAGTTGTGCCAGGGAGGTTTAGATTCTACATTAGTGAAAACTTCTTCACAGAAAGGGTGGTCAAGCATTGGAGCAGGCTATCCAGGGAAGTGGTGGAATCACTACTACTGGAAATATTAAAAAAATGTGTAACTGTGGTGCTTAGGGATATGGTTTACTGGTGTATCTGGCCATGTTAGGTAAATAGTTGGACTTGATGATTTTAGAGGTCTTTTCCAACCTTAATGATTCTATGATTTCTTTAATCATAGTAAAGGACTCTCTCAGGAATGAGGGTAATGGTTCTGCCCATTTCCTTAATGGTAACAACACTGGATTACCTATTGCAGAGTATCATCATTCTTGCTTGGACCTGTGTTAATTATTTAAGGGTGCAGTAGGTCATGTTCCAGCAACCACACCTATGCCCTGGCACTGCCTAATTTACTAGTAGACACGTCCCCAGCTGAGAGGGCAGGATGCCACGGAGGGGAAAAGTGGTGGAGATGAACAAGTGAAAAACCAGCCCAAACATCAAGCACTTTGAGTTGTGAAATTGGGCATTTAACTTAATAGTCATTTTCACACAAGAAGAAATTCCACTGAAATGAATGAGTCGGAAATGTGTGCTGAAATTATTCCGTGCCAAAGACTCTGGGACTTGAAATCTTCAAGCAGCTTCCTTACTAAGAGGATTGGAATGTGAAACCACTGGAAGGTGAGACTAAAATAATATTTATTCCCACTGTTGACTGCACAGAAGAACACCTTGCCTCCCAAAGGTCACAGAGTGGGGATTCCATGTTATTTATTCTAATTGTTACTTCTTTCTGAAAGTGGGTCTGATGGAAGGTTGTTTACCTGACTTCTGTTTTTGCCTAGGAAATCTTCAGCTCCCCACATGACCTGTTTGTGCTTATGCTGCTAAAGATTTAGGCTCCCTTCGAGACCTAATGCCAATAAAGTCACAAAGTTGGTGGAAATTTAGTCACCTTTTTTTAATGATGAATTTTTCACGAAGAATGAGTAATGACTGATGCAGCAAAAGAAGATATTACAAAAATAATTTTGGAAGGCACCTCTACTTGTCAGTAAAAACACAGTTTCCAAACACAGGGACCTTTCCCCCTTGACTGTCTGTTAATGTGAATTAAGCCCTTTTCTCAGACAGTCCTTTTCCATTAGAGGGCAGGTACAGGTACCTGTATTTATGTTAAGTGCAATCTTATACTGTAAGAGAAACATTAATTTAAATGAACTTAAATTATGAACCAAACATTGGTTTGGGGTTTGTTTTTTGTTTTCTTTTTTTGTTTTGTTTTTTTTTTTTTCATGACTGAACATTTTACAGTAGAACATATGTCAGCAAAAGACAGATTCTAAACCAGAATAGTTCTAGTAGAAACTGCTCTTCTCTCCTAATTTCTTTTAAGAACTACATATTTCAAACAATCCTGTTTATCTTCTGGTCCTGTTAACAGTGCATTAATTTAAAATGTCCATCAAGTTAAACTAGTTGCATGACCAAGCACTATCCATCTATACTGAGAACACATGAAGCATATGGAACCACAGAATTTTAAACAATGCTCATTAGGCAATGTTTTGGGAAAAAAAAGATGAGAAGAGCTAAAAATTAAATATATCTGGCAATCAAATGACAAATTTCAGTTGAGATCTCTACTATGTCCTAGACCATTATACAAACAGAATATATACATCCTCCAACAGCTTTTTCTTGTGTGAGTCACTGGACTGAAGCTGGTCCTTCTGCATGTGTGAGAGAGGCTGGATGGGATCAGTTTTTGTTAAAGAAGTCACTAAGGGCATGGATGTCCAGGAAGAGAAAGGCTGAACCTGTTATTTTATTTCAGTTTTGCATTGGCAGGAATCAGGGTGATGAACTTGACAAAGCTCTGGGTACTTCCAGGAGACTTTGCCAAGGGAGTAGGAAAAAAACATCTTCAAACTTTCAAGACTTGGCTGAAAATGAATTGAAACACAGAATTAATCATGAGTGGGAAATGAAGACCTGCAGCGCTTCCTTTCAGAATAATTTTTCATCAACATTTATTTTCTCTGTAAATTTTTTCCTTGTTGTTGTGATTTACTTCACAGCAGCATCCAAACCCACACAACCAAAATTCTTAGTTCCCTCAAGGAGATTTCCAACTGAACCAGCAAGGTGTTTTGAAGCTTTCATCCTTTATGCTACAGGACATGGTGAGGATTTGGTTAATTCCATAACAGAAGATTGAAATTAAACCTTGCACTGTGATGCTCAGCCTGTAAGTTTTGAATTTCCATTAGAATTCTAAAAGCTCAGGTCTGCTACTTGCCCTTATCAAGTTGTGTTGCTACTGCCACCTGATCAGCCACTCTTGTTCAGAGGAAGAAGAAGAAAAGATAAAGAAGTCACCTTCTTCCCTGGCATTTCCTAGAGGCAAGGGTGGGAATTGTCTCTCCTGGGCATAGAAAAGCAGAGGGATTGCTGCTGGAAATCTGGAGCTCACACTTCTGTGCTATTGTTGGTATAAATGTACCTGTGACCTCACTTGCAGACCACGACTCTTCCTATGATGGAAAGTGTTCATGAGAGTTTCCACGTGGTAAAATGTGATTCTGTAACAGTGCTTTTGGCCCTGTATTTAAGGAAATAATTTCAAAAAAATTCGATTTGTATAAATTAATTGGGTTTTGCTGCTGTTGTTGTTGTTGGAGTTTTTTTTGGGGGGTGTTTTCTGTTTTGTTTTGTTGGGTTTTTTTAAGCATCAACTTTACCCAGGTCACAATTGAAATACTTAGAACTTACTGCACAATCCATCCTCACAAGCATTAGGACAATCCCCACAGGGCACTCCTTCCTTGTAGGGTGTCTTCATGGAACTTAGTAGATTCCCCCTGAAACATCAGCGTTACCAACATAAGCTTTGAAGGCATTACAGAGTATCTGAGAAGAAAACTTAATTATAAAGATGTTTATGTATATTAATTTACACTCAGTCAATTTTTATAAATGTATTAGGTTTGTCTGGAAGGGTTTTGGTAGTGGGCAGGAAGGGTGAGGGGGAGAGAATTTGCAGGACTGGTTTTTGTGAGAAGACACCAGAAGCTACCCCTGTTTCAGACAGGGTCAGTGCTGGCCAGATCCAGGCTTGGACCTGCTGCTGCTCAAGGCTGAGCCCACCAGTGATGGCAGAGCCTCTGTGATGACACATTTAGGGAAGGGTAAAAATTCCTGTGCAGAAGAAAGGAGGGAGAATAGGAGAGAAATAAGTCTGCAGACAGCCAGGTCAGTGAAGGAAGAGGGGCAGGAGGTGCTCCAGGTGCTGGAGATGAAATTCCCCTGCAGCCTGTGGTGCAGCCCATGGTGAGGCAGCTGTGCCCCTGCAGCTCATGAGGGTCCACAGGGGACCAGAGATCCACCTGCAGCCCACAGAGCATCCCACACTGGGGCAGGAGGATGCTGGAAGGAGGCTGTGATCCTGTGGGAAGCCCCTGCTGGAGCAGGGGACCTGTCACAGGCAGGACCTGTGACCCTGAGGGGGACCTACACTGCAACAGTCCATTCCTGGAGAACTTCACCCCATGGAAGGAACCCATGGAGCAGTTTATGAAGAACTGCAGCCTGTGGGAAGGACCACACTGAAGTTTATGGGGACTGTCTCCCACGGGAAGGACCCTGCACTGGAGCAGAGGCAAGAGCATGAGGAGGAAGGAGTTGCAGAGGCAGCTTGTGATGAACTGACCAGAGCCCTCATTCATATCCCAGTGTGCTGCTGAAGGGCAGGAGACGGAGAAAATCAGGAGTGAATTTGAGCTTGGAAAGAAGGGAGGGGTGGGTGGAAGGTGTTTTTAGGTTTGGGTTTATTTCTTATTATCCTGTTCTGATTTGATTGGTAAGAAATTATTTTCCCAAAGCCAAGCCAGTTTTTCCCATGATGGTGGTGAGTGATGATGAGTGATTAACTCTGCCCTTATCTTGATCCATGAACTTTTTGTCATATTTTTAATTCCTCTGTCCTGTTGAGGAGAAAAATCATAGAGGGGCAGACTACTGATGGTCTGTCAAGGTCAACCCATCAGAACCTATTGCACTGCGAATGTGGAAATTAATTTTAGGCAACATATGAAGTAATCACTCTGCCTTAAAATTCCCACTAAAGTTTATTTGGTATTAATTATGGTTTTTACTGTACTGTACATATTGATCTGCCTTTCCGAACCAAGATTTCAAGTAGAATGTTGAAAATACTTTTTTTCTGATTTATTGCTATGAAAATTGGGATTTTTAGACAAATGAAATTTAATTTGAAAATGAATGTCTCTGATCTGTTTTATGCTTTTGCTTGTTTGACAAGTCTTTTGATGAGTATCTTTCATATTGATGAGTGTCTTCATATTCCTAATACAGTCTTCAAACCTCTTCCTCAGAATAAGAATAAGCTATAAGTGATGTGCCTTATTACAAATGTCACCATCTCCCAACTAATTCTGATAATGTAATAAGAAGTTCCAAAATCAGAGTCAATACGTACATGGGGCAGTACTGGCAGACATAAAAGTATTCAAATCTGCTGTTGTTACAGAAAGCGAGACCACATCCAATTTTATAGGAATTGTGCCAAACCATCTGTAGGTATAAGAATAAAAATCATAGAAGGATGAAAAATACACATTTGAAAAATCATTTAAATGCAATATGTATTACAGAAATGTTTGCAATGAAGTAAAGCCACTTATTTGCCCTTTATATTAAAATTTGAATCCCACCTTGCTGGAAACCTGCTTTCACCCCTATTCCACCAAATAATATTGAGGATATAATGATAATTTATCATATGTATATATAAAATCTCTGAGTTAAAATGTCACCATTTTGCATGTTTTCCTTCAATGAAAACTATTAATGTAAGAATCATTATGTGAAATTTTCTCTCCTGTGTTTTGTGTAGGTGAACAAAAGCTGTTGTCTAGCTAGAAACTCTCTGAGTCAATAGAACTTTGTAGACCTATTTATATTTTGTTGCTGATACTTTAATAACCCTGTTTTTCTAGTGTCTGGACAACTTTCATATGTTAAACAAACAAGTTGTTTCTTCCTGAAGTCTTGAAATATCATTATCTTTATTCTTTATTCCATAAGACACTTAGCCTATTATTTTCATTGTTATTTTTTTAATTTGAAAGTTTCTATCTTGTTTTGTCAGAATAACTCTTTAATTCTCTATTGCACTTACTTCCTTTAAAAATGAGAGGGTAACAGCTGCTTAGCTAACATGTACATATTTATTTATTCAGCCTGAAATACATATATATATATATATAAATGCTTCTACCTGAGTGTAATGGCCAATCACAGCACCTTTTGTTTTTGCTCCAGTTCCATATTTGAAATTTTTCTCCTCATCATACCAAGTCTGAAGAACATCTGACCATGAGAATGGGGAGGTTGACATGAAGAGATTTTCACCACATAATACATCTGAAAAGAGAAACGTCTTGAGAAAGGCATAAAGGATACACATGTGAGGAAAAAAAACCCAAAAACCCCACAAAAGGTGGGATGATTTTCACAGAAATTCTCATCCCAGATGGAGCAGCAGGATGTTGTTTTTTTTCCGGTTCTGTGACATCACTCTTTGTTAAAACAAAGGTTGTCACTTGATCAGTTTGCAGCATGGCCAGCCTGTCTATCTGGTAGTTTGGTTGTTGACAGACCTTCTACGTGACTGCAGATACACCTGCACATGTGCACCACAGGTTCATGACTAATTTTGTTATTTGGAAGTTACCAACCCCCTCATTATTCAGGTCACAGCCCAGTAATTTTGGGAAAATCCCAATAATCCGAAGCTAACTCCTGGTAAACAAGAAGGTGTCTACACTGTCTTGACCTACTGTTTCTACTTAGGTCCAAACTTACTGCATTAGTTCTCCTCTGGGATTCACCTTAACAAAACCCTGACAATTTGGGTTTTAGGCAAAAAGTATGGACAGGACTGTCCATATCTTAAACATGACATGGACAGAAGTCAGTCAACACCACGCTGGGCACTGACTATTGTTAACATAGTATGGCTGTAACTTCAATATCCAAAGATTGAAGTGCTAATCTGAACCTCAAAGACACTTATAGGCTGCAAGTTGCCTGGGGATTTATCTTGTCTTAGAAACTGTGCTTAGCACCAGCAGCCAATTTTGGATCTTCACCCCGTGCCCCTTTCTTTGCCGATATTTTGAGCCAGCACATACAAAGTGGTTCCTGCCCTAAATTTGGTTTTGATTCTCTTCTTACTGATGGATAAATTGGGAGAATATGCTTTATCTTTATGATTTTTTTTCATCTGCTGTAGAAAATGGGATATGCCTATGCAAAACTGATGCAGCTGGGATGAAAATGGGATTGAACTTTTCTCACTTGCTGGACAGATTTATACCTAGAAATTTCCCTTTGATCACATGACCAACAAATTCTAAATGTTACATGAATTGTATCTCAAAAAAACCCCAACAAACAAAACCAAAAGTGGTCACATCGATAACATATGTGACGTTATTCAGTTACTCTTGTGCTTCTCTTACCTGTTCTCCTCAGATTAGGAGGACTGTGACTTAAAGTGCATTGATTGGCCCATTTTTGGGCATTCTCTGCAGCCAGAGGACACCATTCCTTAATGAAAGAATAAAATACCGGTCATTCAGACACATACCAATTAACAACATTTGGAAACTACATTTCAAATCAGAAAAAATAAAATATAAAATCCTTTTCATTCCCATTTTTTGGGGGGAAGAGATGGGTAGGAAAAAAGTTACTATGCACCCAGGGAATAGAAACTGTGAAGACTGATGAAGGATGTATCCAAAAGAAATTAATAATGCCAGGGATCCTTCTTCTCCTTTTCATTTTCCTCCAAAAGAAAGAGACATTATTGTTCATAAAACACAAGGATTTTCAGAGTTTTTTTATCCTTCTACCCAGCTTTATGTTTCTCTTGGTGCTGGCCATGCTTAATCCTAGTGAAAGGTCTAGAGAACGAATTTGTGGCTAAACAAAATAATGTAACCTGCATACAGTCTTGTACCTCTCATATAGTCCACTACTCATTAAAAACAGATTTACAGCACATAGCTTACCATCTTCATCATGTTGCTGGCAGTTGGTTTTACTCCTTTCCTGAGGGCATTATGTCTGTCAACAATCAGCTTTTGCTGATCTGCTCTGCTGGTTGACAGAACATCGACACCTTCAGGTCCCTAAATGGAAAGAAAATGTTATATTTCTGTTTTATTTGAATGTAACTAAATCCTCTATCCTTTCTAAGAAATATTAAAATATCAAAATAATTGTGCTTCCATGTGGAGCACCATGACTGGTTCCACAGCATAAAGCTTATCAATAACAACACCGATTCCTGTATTTTATCTTCCAACCCTCTATGGAGGACTGAGATGTTCTGGAATGCCTCTTGTGCCTGTACACTCTTAAATTTGGGCAACAAAATCAGGCTTACTTACTATTATTATAATTTCCTACATGAGGTTGTGAGGAAACAGGATCTAAAAATCATCTGAAGACATGAATGTGGTTTTATAATGGGGTCCCCTTCTTCTGCATTTTATACCATGCCTATCAATTTTTTTAAATTATTTTTTTTATTGAGGGAACATGTTTAATCACAAACCTCTTGTGGTACCTCACCAGCACATCCCACTGAGCAGAAAATAAATGCCTATACTTTCATGACATAGATTTTGTTACAGTTCTGCCATAACTGATAGCATTTCTCAAACTTTTCATGTGTTCTCTAATTAAAAAAGAGCCATGTGAAGAACTCAGTCTCTTCTGTACATCCATTCTCAACTAGTCTTCTCGACTGCAGCTTGGAGAGCAGAAATTGAAGAATTAGAGGGAAAAGTAGTCAAAGAAAAGTAATCAAGGCCTCAGTCATAATGATTCTGAAGCAGAAATAGTAAACCATAGACTTCAGTCCAAGTATGGGTTGGGAGGAATCACTCTGTGTGTGCATTCAGTATCCTAATTTAGCTGTTTCAAGGAAATCAGGGGTACATGATGAGAGAATGGATCTTTGAGCAAAGGGAGAGGTGCATACAGGGACCTGGAGGATGAGGAAGGAAGTTAGGTTAAGTGCTATCTATGAACCTGTGGGAAACTAATGGGCAGAGGGCTGTATCTTTGGGAGAACCTGATTCTTGGATCTGTGTATGGAAACTTCTGGAAAATGTAGTTATCTGTGATCTAATTCACAAGTAACAGTGAATCTTTAGATGGTTTATTGTGCAAGTGTGCATCCAACTGACTGCTTTGAATGGAAGTAGACTTCAAGGATGAAAGTTTTCCAGATCCTAGATATCTGATCAGACTCTTTATGCATGGGATTGGTGTACACAGGAAAAGCCATATTCAGTCAGAACACAAGTGCCTCAGGGCCCAACCAAATATTCTGAGTACAAAGTGTGGATCCTACCTGTGCAGTGGATGGAGGCAGTACAGCTGTGAGACACAGGAACACCACTGGCAGAATCATCTCTGAAAAGGGGAGAGTGAGGATTTAATTTATTTTTATGTAGCTTTCATTTCTCTGATACTTAATGCATCTTTTTTCCAGTGTATTTCCTGGCTTTTGCCCAAGTAGCAAGGTAATATATTTTTTTTATTTATTTTGTTTCCTCCTCTCCTCCTCCCATTTTAGAAGTTAAATAATAAAATTAGTTCCCCCTCATTTCCAAATTTCTATGAATCAACTGCTTTGGATATCTCATACTTCCTGCTGTCATCCTGGCTTAATATCTCCACCTGAATTCAGAGGTATTTGTGCTTCCCTTTCTGTAAGAAACCTGCCCATTGCCAAACTGGAATGGGATAGGACGCTGCTTTTAACTTGTTTCTATGTCTAGGTTAGTCTAAAAATTTCCCTACTCCTGTTTGCCTGCTTTGACTGGAGGGCATTGGTTGAAATGGGAATTAGACACTGATCCTTGTGCAGATCCAGGAGTCAGGATTCAAACCCTGAATCTCAGTGAGCAGCACTGTGAGAGCCTTGCATGTGAGCTGGGGCAGAACTGGCTGGGCCAGAAATGGACCAGGGAAAGACCTGTTTCAGAAAGCTTTTTTTTTGTTTTTATCTGCTTAAAGACAACTCTTGATTTTATTGCAGGTAGTGCAGAATGACAACAGAAATCAAAGCCTTCTCTCACCATGTGATTCTTGGGGATGTGATTTGCAGGGCCAGGAGCTGGACTTTGATGACCCTTGTGGGTCCCTTTCCACTCAGGAGATTCTACAAATATGTGATTCTAATTGAAGAAGCATCCACCAGAACCTGGACTCCAAGTCTCCACTTGCTTTGGAGGCTCAAAGCACCACACCAGTGACCCGCTCCAGTGACCCAGGAGATCACTGCAGACTTCAGGTATCTGCAATCAGTCATACAAGTTACATTCAGCTTGTTTCTCTTACCTTGGGCAGGCAAGCAGATGACTAGAGTGGAATTTGCTCATTTTGGCATTTTTCCCCAGCCTCCCACCCAAGGGAATTTATGGGCATGTTACCACAGAGATATATTATTAGCTATATTTATTTGGTTTTGAGCAGCTGCTGGTTTTGGTTTTAAGCTATTCTTGGGGGAAGGCCAATAGGGTTTGCTGATCTTTTCATGTTCAGCAAAGCCCCTTTCTCTTGAGGCAACCAGTTCATATAAAACACAAGGTGCCCTGGAGAACACTGGTATTTGAGGAGAACACGTGGGAAAGAAAAACTGCCCTTCTCCAACTGCTACAGCAGGGTCCCTGCTCCTCACCAGCTTCCTTACCTGGCACTGGAGGTGACCCACAGTCCCCAGCCTGTAGGCAGAGATGCTGCTCCAGCTCTGCTAAACAGCAAAGCCCTTTGAAGTGGACTTTGACTATGGGCAGCTGCAGCTCAGAGGCTAAAAAACTGGACAGACTGGGCACATCTGTTCAATTAAACTCTCACAGTCTTCAAAATAAAGTGGCTTATTCCAAACACCTGTCCTTAAGAAAATATCTGCTTGATCCAGGGGAAAACATACTGATAATTAAGAGTACAAGTCATTGATTTCCTGTTCTTGGTGCTGCTTTATGTTCTATGCTTGCTTTAAGCTCTGACATCACCTGTGCCTCCTTTAAATGCTTTAGGATCACAGAATTGTTTTCTTAATAAATTTTCTAACACTTATTTCCCAGAGCCATTCCAAAACTTTCCAATGTATCTGACCTAGGTGTTTAGCAACAAAAGATTATACTCCCAATATCATGACAAAATTATTATTTTCACCTAATTTCTAACTAGAAATTAAGTAGAGGTGGGGGTTATTTTTAGCTGTACTCAAGTTACAAGCAAAAATATGTCCTTTCAGTGCAAAATATGATGATATGCAAATAGAAACAACTCTTTTTGCATGTAAAACACATTTTAAAGGTAAAATAACTCTTCACTGAAATTCTGAAGCTTTCTGTTTAGTAAAGCTAATGGAGAGACATAGGTAAAGTATTCATTCACTGTAATATTTTCTATTAATTAACTTACAATTAAATATAATTGGTAACTTAATACATGATACAAGTTTCAAAATGCCATTGGAATGTTTTTCAAGACTCAGTGGGTTTCCCACTCCAAGATATTAACATACTTTTGGCAATCCCACTGATTTCAACCAAATGCTTACAGTTTATGAGATGTAAATTTAATTGCTCTGCATTAATTTCTAGGCATTGGTCCTAAAATCAGTCTCTCTCTCCCCCTCCCCTGTTCCCCCTCAATCAAACATAAATCAGGACATGTGCCAAGTCTTACTGACTTTCCTGCAAATCCATCTGTATACCAGGATCTGCCACTGAAAGATGGTGCTTTAACATCCCTAGTTTGTATCAATTTGGCAAACTTGTGTGAATATGTTTTTTCCGTCTCTCCTTCTTAAAAAAAAATTAAAAAAATATAAAAAGATGTGTCCTAAATTATGCGTTGAATTTAATATCCATTACAAAAGAACATCCCCATTATTTTTTTATTGTCCTTGAAAAAGACCTGGAACATAGTCTCTGGCATTCCACTTGTGCAGCATTATTGCACAAAGTCTTACTTAGCAGCCACCTTGCACAAGAGGAGTAAATTAAACAAGGTGGTAATTTCATCACTCTGAAAATAGGTGATGATAGTAACATATACCAATAAAATACACTGAGTTCAATGTATATCCCATTCAATATGTTTGACTGTCTCTCTGTCCCTTTCTCTATGTACGTATAATTTGCCAAGATGCTCTTTCTTGCACACAGGTGTCTTTTCATCTGTCATTTTTGATTGTTCATCAATTTTCTCCCCCCTTTTTTTCCAGCTTTTGTTGCATGGTTGCCTATGTAATCCTTATTTTTCACTGAATAAAATCCTCTTTCTGAGACTACCCTAAATTGTTCAAGAAGTCTTCTGACAATAGGTTGTATTTTAATACATGAAAAAAAAATGGCAATACTTAAAGCCAACAAATCAATGTAAATCCTACCTTTTACTTCCAAGAAGATCAGGAATTTCTTCTTTCTTTCTTCAGGTAGTTGTGGCAGTGACCAGACTTCTTCCCTGGAGGGTGATTTATAGCTCTTCTGTTTCCTGATAGGACAAGGTGACTTCAACGTCACAGGTATTACAAAATTGAAGTAATGACCAGAGACAACAGCGTATTTTTCAAGTGCAAATTCACCCAAAAAGGAGGCTGTTTGCTTTGGTTCCATTTTTATTTCCTCTTCCTGTACTGGAAGAGGTGGAATACTCTGAAATGAGTTTTGGGTGTTTTACTCCTTTATGTGAGATTTGCAGTCAAAGGGAATGTGGTACAAAGCTCTCTGCTAATGATTGACATGTCCAGTTGTAGTAGCACTTGATCCTAATCTCCAGCGATGCCAGTAAACTTAGGTGGCTACTGAGGTGTCTGCAGAGTGACATTGTTGTAACCAAAATGGAATCTTGCCTGCTGATTTTTCCATGGGGGTTTAAAAAGTCTTGGGCCAAGTTCCTGTTCATGCTGTGGCTTCTTTACATCCATCTGATAGTGTAAAAGTCAAAAAAGGAGACAAGGATATTTCTGTAGCTTATACTTTCCCCTGATATTGGATCAAGATTAAAAGATTACTGTGTGCTCTAACATTAAAACATGTATTTGTTTTGGCATTTCCGGGTACATTTGGTGAGAAACATTGCCATGGGTGGAAAGATTGCCAGGTCAGAAGGGATTTGTGTGCATATTGACTGCTTCTGTCCACATTCAGTCTCACATAACTGCTGACCAGATCAGTTGTCATTGCCTGCTTTTGTATCAAATATTGTTATTTTTCTGATTAAATTCTGGTCTTCTCTCTTCTTCAGTCATGCAACTCCTACTCTAGTCCCTTGTGAAGATTTCTGAACAGGCCTTTGCTTTTCAGCACCTGGGAAACCTGGGAACATCTGCCAGATGAAATGGTAAAGGTGTGATTTGTTGGTTTGTAATTACATGGAAAGGAACACTCTGTCAGCAAGTTTGGGGTTGGCACCAAATTGCAGGGAGCAGTCTGTATGCTGGACCACAAGGCTGTCATTCAGATGAATCTCAAAAACCTGAAACAGTGATTTGATCAGGAAAAGATCTGAAAATAAACAATTGGGAGAGAGCAAGTGTCGAGGGAGCAGCTGTAGTAAAAACACTGAGGGATTGGACTTGTAGATCATAGGATGCTCTAGGTTGTGAGGGATCTTAAAGATCATCCAGTTCCAAACCTCCTGCCACGGACAGGGATGACCTCAGAGGTCTTTTCCAACCTAAATGATTCTATGACTCCAGGACAAGTTGCATATGAGTCATCAGTGCTCCCTTGCCAAAGTGAGGGCGCTGCTTTAGTCACCACACAGTGCAAGTACTGAAAATAGTGATTGTACCCACTTTTTCAGCAACTTAAAAACTGTGTCAGGACTACTGAGTCCAGTTTTGGAGTCCCCAGTGCAAGCAAGACTTTAATAAACTGGAGTAAGAGCAGCAAACAGCCACTGTGTTGGAAAGGGGAAAGGCAGAGATTGACTCTTTTACAACACAGACACGAGGCTGAACACAGACCAGATGAGCTTCAGAGATCCTGCACAACCAAAGCTATTCTGAGGCCGTGTGCTTTTTGTATTGTTGACACTGGAGAGGCACAAAATGAGATTTGTATTATTTTACTTGTTGACAGATCATGACAGTTTAATTAATTACAAGGGGAAGCTCTAATTGCTACATGAGAAAACAAGTGTTAGTAGCATAATTGTTATAACCATTACTAATGAAAAGATTATATGCAGGTGATCGGTGAACAATGGATCATAAGGCAAAGACTAAATCTTATGATGTTTGTCATTCATCTCTCTGCCTAATATACACTGAAACCCTGTGAATCAACTCCCCATTTAAGTGTAAGAGCTGTTTGTAAACCCAAGTGAATGATTCAGAACAACATCCTGTCTGGTAACAGCGTTTCTGTAAATAGAGGTTCTGCCATGACTCTTCAAAAACTGTTCCTATAATGTATTTTCACAGAATCACAGAACATCTCAGGTTGGAAGGGACCTCAAAAGATCACCTGGTCCAGCCTTCCAGAGGAATGGGAGCAGGAGTCTTCCTGCTCAAAACTCTGTCAGTGCTCAGTGCTGAGTCCACTTGGGTTTTGGATGTCTCCAAAGATGGAGACTCCACAATCTCTCTGGGTAAGCTGCTCCAGTTCTTGATCATCCTCACTGTAAAGAAGTTTTTTCTCGAGTTTAGCCTTTCAGTGGTGGGTAACCTCCAGGTTCATCTTACTTAGATGCCAACCTTGGGTGACATCACTGAATAATCCTCACAATCACACAATCCCTATCCGTTCATCACTCCTGCATTATAAATGTGGGGAGTTGCCTCATTTTCTGTCCACTGCAAACTGAAAGCACAAGTGCTCATCTGGAGTTTCATGACTGCTACACAAATGGAAAAGTCAATAAATGTATTGTTCTTAAAGAACCTTCTTGGCCAGTTTTTCCACTGGTATTTGAGGTATAATCAGCCACATTCTCTTCTCATGTTCCATACGATGAAAATGTTCTCATTGATTAGAGCATACAATTTTTTTATTAGCCTAAACAAAAGCATGCTCTTTCCAATGTATCTGCATTTATCTCAGGGAGGTAATTCCTCTGTGAACAGTGCAACCTCAGATCACATGCTTGATAAGTACTTTGAGTCCATTACAGAGATTCCAAACTATATTAATAATCCCAAGAGAAACATAATGCCTTGGCTTTTATTTCTACCTCACTTTTGTGTTTCCCAGGGCTTTGATTTTACAAGTAAACTGGTGGAAACACTGTGACATTAAGCAAAACCTTTGGAAAACAGCAGCCTGGAGCCTCCATTGTGTGTCACTGGGAAAGACTGACTGCAAAGTCAACCACTGGAGCACGGTGCTTCCATCTTAAAGACAGTGCTGGTTCTTTCAGAAGTCAATGGCTCTTTCTTCCCTCTCCATCATCCCCAACTTCTACTCTGAGGGCAGAAAACCGAGGTCCTTCTGTAGCTCTTCACAGAGCCAATAACTCCAAGCAACATGACCTTGAAGAAGGTTAATTTTTTAGTAATTTCAGACTTCTGCCATGACAAATGCATTTGGCAAGAGTGCTTTTATTTAGAAGGATTCTGTTTCAAGGATCTACTTGACCAGGCAGTCACAAGAGAAATGCAGCTAAAAATGAAATTAAATTTGCATAATTTATCTGAAAGAAGTGTTTCTGTGTTTAGGGTGAGATGTTGTTTGCCACTATTTTAGCACTATAGCAAGGTTGTATAACAACATCCTTATACCATAGCAAGCTTTCCTATAAGGCCGTATCTTTGGAAGAGTTAATTCTCAATATGCCTGCTGTTATCAATGCTGATTTTAAAAGGTCGGGAAGAAAATGTGAGATGTCATGGAAAGGGAACGTTTGTGATAAGAATTTTGTGCCTGGAAAAAAATGATAGAGCGCAAGCATTCTGTGGAATTTTTATAAATGACTTATATATATTTCATACCCTTTGTTGAACATGGATCATTGAAGGAAAGAGTATGCCCATGGCAAAGTTCCAAAATTCAGTTTCATCATTGATTTCTGCACTGGACTAGTGGAACATTCGTTTCTCTTCTTCCCAGTGGGACTTTTAAGGTACAGCTCAGATTTTAGCCTGATCAGTCTCTGAGGTTGTCTAAAGCAAGAGCCCATTACAGAAACAGCAGTGTGTTTAAGACTAGCAATGTACTTTATAAATAAGTAGACTTGGATTTAAAAATTTACTCTATTAAGGAAAATTTTGTTGCTAAAATATATTTCCCTTTCCCCATATCTCTGTATGTGTTTATTTATCTCTCAGTGACTCAGAATAGAGACTAAAATCTGCTGGTCAATCTGCAAATCCATTTTGCTCCAGCATCTGGAGTTCCCTGGGCACTGCACATCAGAGCAACTCTTCAGGTCTGAAGGCTGACACAGGACAATTTGGTAGGACATTCAGTCATTATTTCACCATCTGTGTTGGTGCACATCTTATCACATGAAAAGACCTGAGAGCTGAAGTGTCACATCTCTTATGGCCAAAGCCAGGGTGTCCACTCAAATGTGAATCCCAATGTCTTTTTTACTCTTTAGTATATCCCTCATGAATATGTAGAAGAAAGAAAGGGCTGCAAGAGCCAAAAGAGCCCCTGTGAACCTTTTTAACATGTCTATGTTAAGGTCCTCCTTTAACATGTCTACATTAAGGTCCTCCTTCATGGCAGTGCAGGATTACAACTTGTGACCTGTCACAGAAAGGAAAAAGGACCAAATCCTTTTGAACTGCCTCCCACAAAAAGGTCTTGACTTAATGCCATGCACAGGAAATGTTCAAGCACAAATTTTCCAGAGTCAGAGAACTTAATAATTATTTACTTCCAGTTTTATTGAGAAACCCCAAAATATTTAGGAGTAATTTCCATTTCTTCCACAGTTTGAAAAATTTCCTGCTATCAAGTATCAGGACATGATTCCAAATGGCTTCTGAAATAGTATTGTCTACATCATCACCCTAAACCCTACGTATACAAAGATAACAGTTGAGTATTTTTTATCAGGTGTTTTATGTTAATAGACATACACACTACAAGAAACTTTATCTATCAACCTACACATCTGAAGAACTGCTGTGGCAAAACAGTACAAGAAACAAATATAGATAATTCTACCAAGTTGTGCATTTTGATTTTTTTAAAGAAGTAAGGATATGCAATCTACACAACATTATAGTCGTGGCTGTCTCCTGCATTAGTAGTTTACATAGTCACATCCCCTTTGAATTCACTTAAAAACAAGATTTACCAGGAAAGATGATAAAAAGTTCTGGAGAAAGGAATATTGTGAACATCATTAAGACCATATTCTACAAGTCATTTATTTACCTGAAATTTAAACAACCTAATTTAAATAACCACAAGCATCTGTACTTGGGCAAGACTCCTTTCACAGACCTTGGAAATTAACAGGCACCTTTCATGTTTCATTTCATCCTGAGGCTGACATCAAAACAAAATCAGGTGATCCCAGAAGTACATGTTTATTTTATGATTCTTGAATGGCCATATGAAAGT